AGGTGAACCCACCATTTACCAAAAATATGGCGGGTTTGAGGGTTTGAGATTACAGCTAGCCACACAACTGGCACACCCTAAGGAAGATTTTGGTAACCATCAGACCCAGCTGGGGCCACCTCTGCTTCTTGGGGCAGTGTGTGCACAGTGGCTCACAGTTGATCTTCATAGTATGCCAGCCTGAGGGTTAACCCCACTCACAAACAGAAATACAGTATTCAAGACTCCACTACAGCATGAGGGTTCACATAACCCACAAAAGAGACATTTTTGGAACACATAGCTCAGGTGATCTGAAGGGTTGTGCACTGACACACATAAGGCACCTGAAAATAAAACTAACATAGTAAGTTTGGGAGTCACAGCAGATGTAGCTAATACAAACACAAATGCAAAAAGGAACACAAAACAGACAAAGGAATATGCCCCAAATAAAAAAAGAGAGCAATCCAAAGAACAAAGATCTAAATAAAATGGAAAAAACCAAACTACCAGATACAGGAGTATTTGTGTCTCTTTTTTTCTTTTCTTTTCTTTTTTCTTTTCTTTTCTTTTCTTTTTTTTTTTTCTTTTAAAATAAAAGGGTTATAAAATGATCAAGGAACTAGGGGGGCCTGGGAGTGAAATGTATTATCTCAGTGAGAAAGAGATAGTAAAAATTTTAAAGGACATTAAAAAATTTAAAAAAGAGCCAGTCAGAAATGAAGAATACAGTATCTGAAGGGAAGGGATACACTACAAGGAATCAACAAGTTTATATAAGGCATAGGATCAAATCAGTAATTTAGGGTGCAAGATAACAGAGAATAGTCAAGTAGAGCAATGAACAAATATTTAAAAAAATGAGGACAGTTTAAGGAACCTCTGGGACAACAAGGGTAACAACATCCACACCATAGAGGTACCAGGAGGAGAAGAGAAAGAGCAAGAGATCAAGAACTCATCTGAAGAAATAGTGACTGAAAATGTCCCTGACCTGATGAAGGAAAAAGACACAGATGTCCAAGAAGCACAGAGTCCCAATCAAGATAAACACAAAGAGACCCACACCAAGACACATCATAATTAAAATGCCAAAACTTAAGGACAAAGAGAAAATATTAAGAGCAACAAGAGAAAGACAGTTGTTTAAAAGGGAGCTCCCATAGCAGTCGGCTGATTACTCATGGGACAGCCATTACCCACTCACTCTGGGTTCCTGGGGAAATCTAGGAGGCCCTGACTTGTGTGGCTCTAGGACAAAGGAAATTTTTGGCTCACACAGCTTATTTCTTCACATGGCCAAATTCTGGGCCTCACTGGGCTTAATAAACTCTGCTGGCCTCAACCTGATGACTCCCTGAAAGCTCACCCCATCACAAAGGTGTGCAAGAATGCAGCAAATGGCAGTTGGACTTGGTATACTCTGGGACTATGCTGAGTGGCCTCAGATCCAGGACTGGCCAGTTTTTGTTCTGTGTAATTTATTGTTTCAGGTCGTATCTTTAGGGTTTGATCCATGTTGAGTTAATTTTTGTATATGGGGACAAACAGTAGTCTAGTTTCATTCTTTTGTATGTGGCCTTCCGATTTTCCCAGCATGAACTGCTGTGTTTTATGGAGTGTATTATATAGGAAAAAGGGGGGAGACTTGATATTTGGGCTCAATTACATTAAATGGAAAGAAGAAACATTCTTCCCAACCCTGATATCAACAAGAAAAACAAACCAAGAAAAACTGCAGAGATCAAATTTGTTATAAATCTAAGATGGAAACACATGGTGGAGACAGCAGAATCCATTCAACTAGTATGAAGCTTGAAGCAATTGCGGATCACTGTGTTTGAATGCTGGGTGGGTCAGCCAAAGAGATCTCAGTCATCTTTGCGTTCCCCTGTAAGTCCAGACAGGTAAACAATTTTGAGTATTTTCCTAGAGGGGCAAGGATGTAGGCAGATGTGGCAGCATGAAAACTGCAATTCTTAAAGCCAATACTCCGCTTTTTGCAAAGACTTCTGAGCTCCAAATGATTTGTGAGTCCCCAAAGAATAACTCCAGAGGAACAGAAACACAACGCTTATGATTGTTTTCACCTGACCCTAATATCTTGCCCTCCCAAACACTGGAATAGTTCCCAAGTTCTTCTAGTACTTTTAACCACGTGGATATAATCCCCTTAAAAACTACAATTCCCAGTAGGCCGCAGGCATAGCCCAGCGGGTACTTTTGTTTTCTTTTTAGAAAATGCAATTGCGCTCTAATTCCCATCCTGGAGTTGGAGCTAAGGTCGCGCAGCTTTCTGGGACTTGCAGTCAGGTCCATAATGTTTACGTAGGTCTGCGCAGACTCACGGGCCCTCCGTTTGCCCTTTGGCCCGTAAGTCCAGACCAGTCTCCATAGCTCTCCACCTCTATCACACTTTGTCCGGTAGCGGCCCAACCTTCTCCGGTCACGTGGGTTGTATGCAGTGCACTCATTGGCCTCCGGAATTCGGAAGCTCGGGAGCTCAGCTGACTACCCCGCTGTTGGGTCTCAGTGCATATGGGTTGGGCTACTTCCGTCACGTTTTTGCGACGCAGGTAAAAGGCGCAGTCTGGGGGAAAAGGCGGCGACTCGGAGGAGACGTTTGAAGCCGCAAAGAGTTGGACCCACGACAAAGCCCATAGCAGGTAAGTCCAGGAAATGTCCTGGTTTTCGCTGGACGCCGGGATTGTAGAGTGAATTCGATCGCTTGCCACGCTAACCTAAGCCGCGTGAGAGGAACTTTCGTTTTTTTTCTCCTCCCAGCGTGACGACAGCGGGAGCAGGTGTGTGTATAGTCGTTTTGGAATAAATGGACTGGAGGGGCATGCTTGGGTTTTAGAACTCGCAGCTGAGTGGTCAAGGAGGCGAGAATATAGCCGCGGTAAAAGGTGAGTGGCGGGGGCGTGCCAGCTGTGACACCACGTGCGGTAGGCGACATAGGGTCCCTACACGGTCCCAGGAGTCGGTTATCTGCCCTTCCAGCCCATGTTTCCGGGTGCCTCCAGTGGTGCGCACTCTATCAGTTGATTGAATTGCGCAGGGCTTGCTCTGGATTTTCGGTGGGACCTAGGAGACTCGGGTGAGTTCAGGCAGACAAGGAGAGATTGTTGCGTAGTTAAATAATGGCGCTGCGCGCCCTTTTCTTGGTTTTCCTTTGCTCTCCTCCTCAGCGCGGACTGATGGGACCCTGAGTCGGAGATATAAGGGTTATTTGTATCCGGAATATTGGCTCTTGACAGAATATATGTAGAGCCAAGAGATGTAGAGGTGATTTTGAAGTACCTTGGCCCAACGACATTGGTGAGCACCATCGCCTTTGTAATAACTGTCCTAACTTTTTTTTTTTTTGTCCTTCCTGTCTTCCTTCCCGTTGGATTGTACTTGAGCCTTCCCCCACACGGCCTTTGGTCTCTCATTCTGGGAAACCAGCTGGAACATTCAGCTTGTCTTTACTTCTCTCTGAATACAGAAAATTTGAGGCCTTCAGAGAGGGAAAACTCCACTTTTTCTGGAGTCGTTGCTGAGAATTATAAGAAGGCCGTGAGACTCCTAGGCTATTGCTGTAGAGTTTTCACAGCCTTGGAGTGACAAATTTTAGGGAAAGTACCTCTTCTTTGAAAATACTGAAATGTTCACTGCTCTGAAATTGTAAAATAATACTCTTCTAACATGTCTAATTAATTTTAAAAAGTCTTGTGTACATTTCAGCAGTCTCAAGAATTACCTATTGGGGGGACCTGTCGGGTCTATTCATTTCTCTCAATATGGTGTTATATGTAGCTTCCTCCCTCCCCCGTTTGTATTTCGAAAGAAAGATCCAGTATTTGCGGGATTGAAGAAGAAACTGTGGATGAAAGATACTCTAGGGCAGAGATTTTCAACCTTTTTCACCTCATGGCATACATTAAACTAATTGTAATTATTAAAATTCTGTGGCACCCCAAAAAGTATTGTGCATATTTTTTGCCTATCTAATAAAAGATAGATATAATTTTGATTCATACACACCAGACGCCTGTTGTGTTGGCTGTCATTTTTTAAATTTCACAATCTAACGGAAAAGAGGTAAGTGCCCCTCATTAAATAGTCAGGTATATTACATGTTTTAAAAAGTCTTGAGGCACACCATTTGAAAATCACTGCTCTAGGTAGTACAGATTGTCACTTTGGGTGACAGTGATTTTGTAGGTTCTTTCCAAAGGGAAAACTCTGATTTAAAAACAAAACACTGCAACTTAAGTTCCTATTTATACTGCTTGGGATGAGGATAGAAAGTTGTTGAATTGGCAGCAAAGGTTACTCAGCATTTTAACCTTTTCTGGTTAGTAGCTGGGTACAAGTAGATTCTACTTGTGTTTCTACTGTCTCATTTTGTGTACTCACTTCTACATTTCCTTTCTTTTTCATGCTTTTCTGTGCATCTTTCTACTTTTAGTTCCTTCCCTCATTTAATTGACTGTGGCATGGGATTGAAATACTTGATTAAATATTACTTTTTAAATTTTCACTTTAAAAAGTTGAGGAAATATCTTGTATTGGCAAAAATCATTTTTCTGTAAGTTCTTTATGACCATTAATTTTTAAACTTTCTTTTATCACTACCTTGAAAAAATATTCTTTAGTTCTAAGTTAACCTTTGCACCTCTTTTAGGAAGCAGAAATAATGTATAATTGTGTTGTTTTAAAAAATATTGAGAATATTTAAAGAAAAATGACTCATATCACTCTTTAGTTGAGGTGATGGGCTTTATTATTTTAGAATTACCTGTTTTTTCTGTCAGTTCTGTTCATTTTTGTTTCTCTTTTGTAGTTTTGTTGTTAGGTTCGGATACATTTATGGCCTATCCTTTCATCAAATTTTAATGCATTTTGTCTTACTCGTAACAATTTTTTGTTTTGAGACTATTTTGTCTAGTTGTAGGATTGCCAATCTGCCATTTTATTTTATTATTTTATTTTAACTTAATTTTATTATTTTATTTTATTATTCACCTGAGAACATGCTTTCACTTATTTTTCAGAGAGAAATCCCCAGTGGTTATCAAATCTGCAGCCTGGTTATGTGTGTCCTGACTGGGAATCAAACAGCCTTTTAAAGTATGCGGAATGATACTATAACTAACTGAGCCACACTACCCTGGGATTGATGCCTCTTTATTTTTATTTATTTTCTAAATTTTGAAAAATATATATCTTTATTGATTTCGGAGAGAGGAAAGGAGAGGGAGTGAGAGAGAGAGAAACATAAATGATGAGAGAGTCATTGATCGGCTGCCTCCTGCACAGCCCCGACTGGGGATGGAGCCGGCAACCCTGGGCATATGCCCTGATCAGGAATCAAACCCCAATCACCTGGATCCAAGGTCGACGCTCAACCGCTGAGCCACACCTGGTGGGCCTTGATGCCTCTCTAAAAACAGTTGCTTAGTAAATAAAATATATCTCCATTTCTTCCACAGGCATCTGTTAAGGGGACCAAAATATCAGGAACTTTGTGTTCCCATCCCTTTCTACAATGCTTTCCTAATGCATCAAGAGAGACTGGTGTCTCCTCTGAAGCTGTGAAGGTGCACAAGGCAAAGTATTGGTGGCTTTTTTGAGAGTAGCAGTTAGGAACACACTCTGCCTTGGGTAACAGTGAAGCACCAGGGTATGGTAACCTGTACAGTACAAATTCAAATAGGTACCAGTCAGCAGCTGATAAATTTGCAGGCACTTGAGGCTGCTGACAGAGGAAATGGAAGTGTGCCCACAGAATGAGTTCTGTTGCAACTGGATCAAACTCTTATGCTGACTTTAGGTGCCAATGCTTGTCAGCCTACCCCTTGTTGGCAGTTCAGGTAACCATAATCAGAAAACAATCGTTAAGGCTCTTTCTTCACATAATCCTCACATACCAGAATTCTTACAACAAGCTATGTTTTTTTTACATCTGCACATTCAGAATTTAGAACTGGTATGAAAAAGCACATGCCAGTCTCCCCAGCATAAATGAAAGACGTTATGCCTGTGTTTAGGTCTTCTTTGGGAAAAGGTTTCACCATTGCCAGACAGAAAAATATGCTTTGTTGTTTGGGGGTTTCTTCTACTCTTGAATATCCTGATTAGGCCCATTGGGTTCATGGTGGACAAGGCTTCAAGTCTATTGACACACGTTAGACTTTGTCCCTTTTGTGTGACTAATGCAGGGAGCTCCAGTGTGCCCTGGCAGCAGATACCCAGGTCTTAACATGCTGCCTGGCCTCTAACTTCACAGTTCAAACCCCCCACTTGTGCAGGTTTTCTTGAAGGCTCTGCCTACAAACTTACCACATTCACCTGGGTGTGAGAGAGAAACATTGATCCTGTATGCCCCCAATGGGGACTGAACCTGCAGCCTAGTTATGTGCCCTGACTGGGAATCAAACTTGCAACTTTTGGGTGTGGGATGATGCTCCAACCAACTGAGCCACCTGGCCAGGGTTATGTTTCTTTTGCTTATATTTTTATGCAATATCCTTTTCTGTCATTTTATTTTGAGTTTATTTGTGCCCTTATATATAAAGTGATTCTCTTGTAGATAGCATATAGGTGGATCATGGTTTTCTAAAAAAACTGTCATTCTTTGCTTTTGGATTGGAGAGTTTATCCCACTTACATTTAAAGTAATTACTGTGAGAGAACAATTTACTTCTGTGATTTTGCTTTTTGTTTTCTATTTGTCTTTAATCTTTTTCTCATTTCCTCCATACTGCCTTCTTTTGTAATGTAGCATTTTAATTCTGTTCTCATTTCTTCTTCGTACATTATGTAGTTATTTTCTTAGTGGCTCCCTGGGGGAGGGAGGGTATTACAGTTGATATCTTACATTTATAACAAACTAGTTCGAATTAACACCTGTGTAGTCTCATTAGTATATAGAAAGTCTGCTCTTACACAGTTCTGTCTTTTTGTTTTTTCAGAGAATAGATCTTAATGCATTATGTGCTAATAAAGTAGATTTATAGTTACTGTTTTGTAAAGTTGAATTAAGTCATGTAGGCAAAAAAGGAGTTATAGACAAAAAATGTAACAAAACTGGTTTTTATACTTATCTGTACAGTTATCTTCACTATTATTTTTTATTTCTTTGTTTATGGCTTTGAGTTAATGTGTAATGTCCTTTCATTTCTGTCTGAAAGATTCCACTTGCATTTTTTGTACTGCACGTCTACTAGGAGCTTTTATTTATCTGGAAACGTTTTGTTTTGTTTTTTAATCCTCCCTGGAGGATATTTTTTTCATTGATTTTTTTTTTTTTCCTTTCTTTCTTTTAGAGAGAGTGGAAGGGAGGGAGGGGAAAGGAGAAAGAGAGACAAACTGGTTATCTCCTGCACACACCCTGCTTGGGGCTGGGAATTGAACCCAAGACACTAAAGTGCCTGGGTCAGTGCTCTAGCCACTGAGCCACACTGGCCAGGGATGTTGGGAATGTTTTAATGTCTTCATTTTGAAGGATAATCTTTGTGTTTATGGTTCTTAGATTGAGTTTATTGGATGTGTAGATTAATGGTGTCACATAGGTCTTTTAAGCTCTGTTGATTTTTCTTCTTTCTGTTTCTCAAACTGCATAATTTTAATTTACCTAGCTTCCAGTTTGCTGATTCATCTACCTGGTAAAATCTGC